CGGGGCGTAGGCGCGCAGCAGCAGCCGCAGCGCCCCCTCGCCGTGCGCGCCCAGCTCCTCAGGCGCCTGCGGGTAGCCGCGGGGATCGAAGATCGCGGAGAAGGCCGTCGTGGCATCCAGCGAGGGCCCAGGGTACGAGTCTCGCAGACCCTTCCGCACGGAGTCCAAGAAGGCCCCTCGCAGCCGCTCCAAGCCACGGACCGCAGCCTCGGAGTAGCCGACCAACTCCAGGCCGCGGTAGGTACAGCGCCCACCGCCCAAGTCAGGACTGGAGGACACCAGTTCCTGCAGGAAGCCCTGGAGGCGCGCGCCACCGGAGCTTCGCTGCGCTTGGAGGGAGGCTGCAGCTGCCATCACCAGGGGCTGCAGCAGGGCCAAGTCCGGGTCTTCTGGCTGCAGGACAAGGGCGAGCTTCTGCACGCAGGGCAGAGTGTCCAGCAGCAGGTGGGTGAAGGCCACGAAGGTGAACTGGCGCAGGGCGAGGGCCAGTGCCTTAGCTGTTGGAGAGGCTGAGGCACAGGCCTCCAGTGTGGGCACTAGGCAAGGCCAGGCCTCAGCCACTGCTTCCACCACAGGCAGCAGCGAGGCCCAGGGCACTGGCCGTGGTCCTGCCAAGTCGATAGCTGCAAGGTCCAGTGCTGCCCGGAGCTCAGGGACCATGTGGGAACTGGGTCCACCGTGGAGGCGGAAAAGGGCATCCAGTACACTTTCATATTCACCTAGGTAGGCAGGGGGCTCGGGATCTGGCCGGCCTGGGAGGCAGTGTAGTTCTGTGAGCAGCGGGCAGGTGGCCCGGAGCTGCAGCCCCACGCTCCCTAGGCGGTCCCTGGGGAGGCTTGAGCTGAGCCAGGCTAGCTTGGGTGCAGACACACCGAAGGCCTGCAGGATGTCCAGGAGTTGGCCAGCAGTAGCCTCACCCTCCTGTAGCTCCACACTGCCCAGGAAAGTGGTGGCAGGTTGACCATCACAGGGGGACACTGAAGTGGCAAACAAGGCCAGACCGTGGGATTCAGGCCAATCCCTGGTCTTGTCCAACACCAGCCCCACATATGGGGATGCCTTCAGGCACTGGCAGGCCTCTGTGTGCAAGACGCTGGCAATGGCAACCTGGGACAGCCAGAGAAAGAAAGGGAGGGAGGGCAGAGTTAGGCTTGTCCTGAGAAGAGGAGGTAGACAGTACAGGGTGATAGGAAGGGCACAGGCCTTGGGATCAGACAGACTTAGGGACTAATTCTAGCTTTGCCACTTAATGGCTCTGTGACCTTGGGCAAGTTATTTCGCCTCTCTGAGCCTCAGTTTCTTCAGCTCTAAAATCAGGCTGATAGGTGCCCCCAATCTCCTCAAAAGGTTGTTGTGAATTATAAATGTAACTCTTTGTTGTGTTTATAAATGTAAAATGCTTTACAAACCGTAAAGGTTCTATAGAACTTGGTATGTGTGTGTTTCTACAGCATCACCCAGTCCACCTTATTCCTGAGGGTCTCCCTCCTCTCTGCTGTTCAGGGATTAACTGATAGGCATTGTTCACTGCCAACTCCTGGCCAATGACACAGGGCCCCAGTTGTGTGTTCTGTTTGTTTGTCATCTCTCTGTAAGGTGAAACCAACTCCCCCACCCCCACACCAGCCCCTAGGACTCACACAGCTAGTAAGTACCCCAGGGGCCACATGGATAATACTGAGCTTGAAGTGGGCCAGGGATAAAATAGAGGGAATGGGGAGCCCATGCCTGCTCCCCAGCTCCACCACTTCATGCCCTGAGAGCACAGGGGCCTAGTTTTTCAGTACAAGTAACAAGTCCAGATGTTTATATGTAGTCTCTCATTTTGTTAAATTTGGAAGCTAATTTAAGTGTTTTAAAAACTCTGTGGCCCTGGCTTGTGTGGCTCAGTTGGTTGAGTGTCATCCCATGCACCAAATGGTAGCCAGTTCGATTCTTGGTCAGGGCACATCCCCAGGTTGCAGGCTCGATCCCTGGTAGGGGGCGTGCAGGAGGCAGCCGATCTATATTTCTCCTACCAGTGTTTCTCTCTCTCCCTCTCCCTTTAAAATCAATAAAAACATATTTAAAAAACAAGGTAAAGACACTGTGAAAACCAACAAAACACCTCTGTGGGCCAATCAAGCTCCCAGGGCCACCAGTTTGCTATCTCTGGCCTAGGTAGTAAGGGGAGTGCCCCTGTGTCCCCAAGGACAGGGCCTGGTCTGGCTGCTTCACTGTTGTGTTCCCAGCAGCTGGCCCAGGGCCTGGCACACAATACGCTCTCAGTGACGGATGAAGGTATGAATGAAGTGCTCTGGCTGTTGCCCAGGGGCCTGGCATGCTGGCACTGTGCCAGATGGCTCAATGTCCTCCCTCCCCAAGCCCTCCCCCATACCTCTGGCTGCCACCCACCTGCATGTCCCTCACCCTCCTGGGACTGTAGTAATCACCACGCTCCGTGCCCAGCAGCGCCTGGCACAGGTTGAACCTTTGTAGCTCCAGTAGGGCAGAGCAGCGGTCGTCAGGCACGTCCTCCTTGGCCATGCAGTACACTGTGGTCAACACAGCCACTTTGGCCGGGTCCACCTCCACCTTGATGTCCCTGGAGGTAGGGGTGGTCGCCAGGCCTGGGTAGGCCCCTCCTCCCTCAGCCTGGCCCTCAAAAGTGGGCTGGCCCCGGTTCACAGCCAGAGCCTGGCGGTGGGCCCCCGAGGTCACATGGCGCAGCAAGGCATGGCGCTGGAAGTTGTCGGTGCCCACGGTGAAGGCGTTCTCAGCTTTGCCATGCTTGTTCCGTACCAGGGCCTGGCGGCACTCAAGGCAAAACATCAGCTTCCGCTCGTAGTCAAAGTCCAGCCAGGTAAACTCCTCTTTCCAGTGCTCATTGAAGTAACGCTTGCACTTCTTGTTGGAGTTGGAGGCCTCTCCAGCTGGTTTCTTCCCCGGGGGTACCATTCCTGCTTGAGAGGCAGGGTACCCCCAACCCTACCCAAATGCTCTAACCCCCAGCCTACCCCCCACACAGAGACACCTCCCTTGATAAAGGGGCGTTGGTGGGGAGGCAGGAGAAGGGCAGCACGACAGGCTACTGTGGACCATCCGTCTAACTTAGCTGGGAAAGTTTATTCCTGCTCCGCCGGTGGGAGACTGGAGATGAAAGAGACAAGGGAGGGGTGTTAGGGAGTCCGCCGAGGATTCACACTGCCCACAGAGCACTGTCCAGCTGAGGGGTAGGCTGAACCCAATGGGGCAGGGTTGTTGGGAGTGAGCAGGGTCATCAAAGGGCCAGAGAGTGTTGTTCACAGCGGGGAGGTATGGGAATCCCAGCCCCATCTGAGGGTCGTCCTCCATCCAGGACAAGGCATTGCTTAGTGTTGACGGCTGAAGCCTGCCAGAACTCAGAGCTGGAAAGACCCTCACTGTCTATGCAACCACATTTTATAGGCGGAGGAACTGAGTCCTGGACACAGAGTGGGTCTCAGGACTCATGAATAATTTGTGGCTGAGCGAGAACAAAAATTCAGACCTCCTGACTTGTCATCCAAAGGATGACTGATCCTTCCAGTCCATAGTCATTTATTTTATCAGAAGGAAGTTAGCCCAAAGCTGAGCTTCCGGAGCCACAGGATTGAGGAACTGGATCTGTTTTCTCTGGAGCTCCCTTCCTTAAACACACACACACACACACACACACACACTGACACACTGTGGTTTTGGGAAGGGTAGCCCAGAAGTGGGGGCTAGGATCCAGACTAAAGGGACCTAGCTGGTTACCTCTATTTCCCTCATTCTACCACCCCACTTGGGGTGTGAGACCAGGATGAGCAGTTCAGGACCAGAGGCCATGTCCAGCTGATGGCCCCAGTCTGACAACCCTGCTTCCTAATTATCTCTCAAACCTGTCTGTCCCCACCTCTCCATGCCCACTGATAACAGCAGTGACTACCATTTATCGAGCGTGAACAAACTCTCAGGCCCTGTGCTATTACTCTGCAGTGACTCAAAGAGGGGACCAAGATTCCTCTTGCAGAGACTCTGAGGGTGGTATTACCCTCATTTTGAATAGGAGGAAACTGAGGCTCAGAGACTTTAAGTGACTCACCCAAGGTCCACAAGCAGTAAGTGCCTAAGGCAGAATTAGATCCCAAGTCCTCCTAACCCCACAGGCCACATTGAGACTCTGGCCTGCACCCTCTCACCTGGATTTTGCAGCTGCTTCCACCTCTGTAGTCATCCCCCCAAATTCATCCTTTACACAGCAGCCAGAGAGCAAGGTCACACACAAATCCAACTGTGTCACTCTCTTGCTTCCATCTCTTTAGTGGTGTCCTGTGGCCTAAGTTTAAACACCTCACCATGTCTGTCCCCCCACCCCAAGCCTCTGGACATCTGCTGAGCTTCCCATCCGTCACTCCTTTCTGCTTGGCCAACCCCCAGTGCTTACCATTCCCCACATGTATTACTGTTACTTTAGCTTCTGCCTTCATCCTCTGTGCCTGGATTTGCCTACCCCCCTTTCCCTGGCTAATTCCCATTTGTTCCTGGAGAGCAGCCTAGACACCCCCTGTGCTGCTAACCTGCCCTCCTGTCTCCCATAATCCCCTGCGTGTGAGTCTTTGTAATATAATATGTAGAATGCAGGTATGCTCTGTGCATCTCTACATTTGGTTCCTGGATGGCCAAGATCACATTTGTTCATTGTTGGATCTCTAAGTCCCTGTACAGGGCTGGGCACGCAGATGCCTCTCAGCAAAAGTTGGTTGTTTAAAAGAATGAAAGGATTTATTTTGGTTATATGAAAGGACTTCCTGTTTCTGAGGCTGTTTGCTAGATGAGTGTAAGCTTTGAGAAAGCAGTGACTGTCTTGTCGACCTGATATTACACCCAGCACCCTGTGTGGAACCTGCACTTGGAGGGTGGGTAAAATAAGGGCAGATGAGTAGAATTCCAGGGGCAGCCTGTTCAGTATAAGGAAAGGTACTGTCTTGCCAGATGTGGGTGAAAGTTGGTCCTCTTCCCTTGGACTCTGCGTGGCATTTGGTATGGCTCACTGCGCCATCCTTGAAACCCATTTTTCTTTTGGTTTCCAAGATTCTACATTCCTTGGGTTTCCTTCCCCCCATCAGCTGCTCCTTGGCCTGTGTTATCTTCACCTCCTCTTCTCAACCTCAACCTGTCCAAAGAGTTCAGAACCACCTCTGCTGGCCACTCTGAGATACACAGCCCCAGCCTGGGCCACTCCTCTGGGCACCACACCTCTCCATCCAACCACCTTCCTGGCTTGTCTAATGGAACTCTCCATCTGTCCCTACCAAGTGTCCCCTGTCCAGGAAATTACTCATCCTCCCAACCAGGTGCTCTGGCCAGAAACATGCCCCCCTAAGCCCCATTTTCTTCCACATCCAGAACCTGGTCCTGTTGATTCCACCTCCACAATCTACCTCTAACTGACCCCTTTTCTCCATGCTGCTGCCACCTTCATATCTTGCCTGGGCTATGCCAGCTGCTTCCTCATGGCCCTCTGGGTTTCTACTCTTACCCATCTCTAAGCCATTCAAATCCTAGCAGCCAGAGGGGGCTTCTGAAAACACTGCTTACTGATGGGCACGTGGGCTGTTTCTACTACGCAGCTGTAAAGAAGAAGGATCTCGTACCCTTTGGGACAGTTTAGATGGACCTGGAGAGTATTACGCTAAGCAAAATAAGCCAGGCAGAGAAAGACAAACATCACATGATCTCACTTATATGTGGAATCTAAAGAACTTAAT